TCACCTCCTGTAAATCTCTCTCCACTGTCACTTCTCAGTGAGGCCTATCCTAACCACTCTTTCAAATTAGAAAGCGATCCCTCTTCCAGCCCCCATTCCCTCTCCTCCTTTCCCCATCCTGTTTTTCCCACAGGACTTATCACCTTCCAACTTACCAGTTGTGCACTGTGCTCAGTTGTTACATTTACTATCTCTGTCTCCCCTGCTGGAGTGTAAGATCTGCAAGGGCAGCTCTTTTTGTCTATTTTGTTCACTACTCTATCCCAAGTACCTAATCCATGTCTGCCACTGAGCAGATACTTCAAAAATATTTGTAGAACGTGGGATGTCTGGGTGGCTCTGTCAGCTGAGCAGCCGACTCTTGATTTCACCTCAGGTCATGAACTCATGGTTTGTGGGTTCAAGTCCCACTGTCAGCACAGAGCCTGCCTCAGATCCTCAGGCTTCCCCACTTGTGCTCTCTTTCTCTCCCAAAAATAAATAAATGTTTTAAAAAATATTTCTAAGGGCACCTGGGTGACTCAGTCAATTGAGCAGCTGACTTCAGCTCAGGTCACGATCTAGCGGTCCATGAGTTCGAGCCCCACATCAGGCTCTGTGCTAATAGCTCAGAGCCTGGAACCTGCTTCAGATTATGTGTCTCCCTCTCTCTCTGTCCCTCCCCACTCATGCTCTGTCTCTCTCTCAGTATAATGTAAAAAACAATATTTGTAGAACAAATGAAGGAGTTTCTTCTTTGTAAACTTCTTCAAATTAGACTGTACCATTTTAATAATTAAAAAGTTGGGGCAAATGTAGGATTCAGTATTTTTCTCATCAATCAACTCTCTGCAATGACTGCTTAACCCAAGGGTTCTCTCCTTGAAATTAAATAGAATTAAATCCATGGATCTCCTAACTTGATGTTACCACCCTGAAAGTTTATCTCCAGTTCCAGGTTCACCAGCTACCCTGGTGATCAAAAGCTGTTCAGCTGATTTTTTCAGCCATTGGTGACTTCTATCCAGCACCAGCCACACATACTCTCTTCACTGTGCTAATACTATTAGAGTAACAACAAAGGTGGCCTTGATTAGTCTTTCGAATGCTCCTGAACAAGATACCTGTGTGGTCTCCTCAAAATACTTTACAGGTCTTACTTTGTGACAAACACAGAAAAATAGTTTTTTATACAAAGTGAGAACTTAGGCTTTCCTCTACCACCAGATTCCCTGCCAACTAGTTTTTACCTCTTAGGTAGACAGCACCCGTGCTATTAGCTAATTTCCAGGCGGTAGGATGTGGACATTTCACTCTTTTGTTTGCTTTCATCCCCAGGAGCTCCAGTGGGTTCTCAGTTCACAAAGCTGGATTCATCCTGTTTTCACTTATCGACAAAGCATTTCAGAATAAACATCTGCTGCTATGAACCTTCAGGCAAGTTGGTTGGGTGGAGGAATTACCCCAGACCCATGATCTCCATCAGCCACCTTAAACAAGTATATAATCTACGTAACAGATAATATGATTGCACATGAAAGGCAGGGTGGTATAATGTCAAATACACAGATTTGGGAGTCAAACCACAATGACTTGAGTCCTTTTTTTTTTTTCAAGTAGGCTTCGCACCCAGCATGGAGCCCAACTTGAGGCTTGAACCCACAACCCTGAGCTCCAGACCTTAGCTGAGATCAAGAGTCAGACACTTAACCGACTGAGCCCCCCAGGCACCCTGAGTCCTGTCTTTGCTACTTGTCTATGACCTTGGGCAAGTCACAGCACCTCAAATGGAAGTCAGAATGGTGGGATTAGTAAGAGATATCTGCCCTAGGATTGTTTTGAGGATTAAATGAATCATGCCCACTACAAAATAAATTTCTAATAAATGACATTTTAAAGTATTATGCAGGGGCACCTGGTGGCTCAGTCGGTTAAGCATCCAACTTCGGCTCACGTCATGATCTCATGGTTTGTGGGTTTGAGCCCCACATCGGACTCTGTGCTGACAGCTCAGAGCCTGGAGCCTGCTTCAGATTCTGTGTCTCCCTCTCTCTGCCCCTCCCCTGCTTGTGCTCTCTCTCTGTCTCTCAAAAATGAACAAATGTCAAAAAAATTTTAATAAAAAATAAAGTACCATCAAGTTCTGCTACAGAACAAACTCTCTAGTTGTCCACCTCTGAACCAGATCAGTATTCCTGAGCCCCGTTCATTTAGAAAGTTTGGGAGAACCTCTAATTTAGGCAGGATTTGCCAAGCACTTCCCGGTCTCTTTGCCCATGTTAGAAAATTACCAGCACACAGAGACACCCTCTACCTCAACTCAATGAGCATTCAGTAGAGAACCAAATAAACAGAAAAGCACAGATCACGTTCCACGGAAGGAATATCCATTCTCTGGTCTGTGAGCAACAATAGAGTTAGCATTTTTAGATGGAATCTGGGAGTGAGAAGAAATCAGACATCCTAGAGTCTAAGTTTCCATGCCCACCTCAGTCCCACACTTCTACAAACCCAAATATTATTTTCTTCACTGTTGATCCTTGGTAAGACTCAGTAGTCAGTGCATGCCCAGGCAATTAAGACTTGAGGCATCTCTCATTTTCCATTTTAGTCAATGATATCAGTGTCAAGCAACGTCTTGAAAAGTCAGAGTTTCCAGTACTCTATGCCCAAATTTCAGAACAAGAGCTGGAAAGTGATAGAAACCCCATGCAATCCTAAGCCCACACACAGTACTTGGGTTTCTAGCATTTAACCCAGTGAAATCACCTGGATGGAAGAAAATCTTATTTGTTGCAAAACTGAATCATGTTCTAAATGAATTAAAAGGGAATTTGTCTTCTCTGCCATTCTTGCCCTCCAAGAACGCATCTCAGTAAGATAAAATAGATTGCCAGGCTAATGTTTTGAGCACTCTGCCAAAATCCAAGAGACTGGAAGGGGACCTACAGGCACAAAGAAGCAATTCTACTTAGAAGTGTCACACTGCAGGTTGCCAATTAAAAGCTTTTGTCAAGATGCAGTCAGGCACGGAAGATGTCGTGTGTTATGAGATTTAGAGGCACCTGTGGTCCTGTGGGTAGGTTTCTTCCATCAGCTGGCACATGGAGTGGTATCCAGACATCTGCTGTGAAGGGAGGGAGGGCATTCCTACTGATAATTCTGGGACTCAAAGAGCATGGAGAGAATGAAGAATAGCAGGCTGAAAGTCAGACTATCCCCCTACTACTAATTCTATTATAAACCTGTCGGTTCTCTGGGCCTCAGTTTATCTTCTGCATGAGGATTTGAGCTGTAGGATATCCCAGGTCTATAACTCCAGCCACAGGAAATGGAAGGCTGCTACTTCCCACAAAGGCTCTTTGTTGTGGAATTTCTAGACCCCATGCGAACAGGATCTTTAGAAATTAGCATTTTATTGATTTTGACATATGCTGTCATTGACACTTCTGTTTTATGTGTTTTAATTAAATGCTATTATTTACCACTATGTCCTGAGGCCGTGTGTCGGGAATGGGTGAGATTTCATAAATCAGACCAATAGTTCCGTGTAGGGAATCCATTGACTCTCATGATATCATTGTAATTATTTCCCTTCGATCAATAGAAAAGCTTTGATGTCCACTTTATAGCTGAGAGAAGGCTTCTTTCCATTTATCTTCCGCCTTGTTGAAAATGCACAAAGCCCTTATCCAGAAGTCACCCTCTCTGCTATCAAAATGAGCATTCTGTTTTGTTGTCAATGTTGCTGCTATTATTAGATGCCTCCATCTCCCTCGGAGCCACCTCCGCTTGAGAGCCCATTGTACTCTGCGGCATGCAGTCCTGACCTGGGACTGTGGATTCTGTCTTATTGCTCTCTCTGTCTCCATGTTGGTTTCCCTTTGGTCCCTACACACTGTGCTACAGGCTCTGGACCACCATTAATTTGAAACTTCTTCTAGATACTCACGTCATCAGGGATGTCATTGTTCATCACCCTTTCCACACTCAGCATGTCTACCTTGCACAGAGTTAGTGCTCAAGGGCGTGTTGCTTAAACTTAATCAAGAGAAGAGAGGAGGGAATTCACACCTCTCCCAAGTTGAATCATCCTAGACCAACGGAGATTCACTTCAGAGCCTGTGCTCCAACCAGGACCGTGGCTTGAGGGGAAGAGGCTGTGGGCTGTTTGCTTTGAAGAGAATCACTGCATGTGTTAAATCCAGACAATATGAATGCCCCCAAAAATCCCATTATATAGAGTGAATTCCTAGAATGCTTTGGGGGATAGGTGATGGAAGGGTGGGAGAGTACGTCTGCCGTCTGCCGATCATTTTCCGCATGCTCAAAAACCCTCTCGAATATACATCTGCATAGAAATTAGGGACCAGAGCAAATGCAAACTTTCCCTCCTTCTCCCAAACACAATCCAATCTAATCCTGGTTCCTCCAAGGAGCAGGGCCTTTCCCCACACTAACATTTTCCTTTTTCCAGATTTCTACAGTCACGGGGATTTGCCTGATTGCACTTTTGTCTGTTTCACAGTTGTTTGCAGAAAGCTGTGTGCCAGGCGGCATCCAAACCCACTACATCTATCAGCCCACGGAATCCTCGTAACAGTCACGTGAGGTGGGCATTATTATTAATATTATTATTCAACCTATTGATGAGGAAACTGAGGCACAGGAGTTAGATAACTTGGCCAAGGTCACACAGCCAGTAGATGCCAGAGTCAGGACATAAATCCAGGCAGCTAAGCCCCAGAGCTTATGTTTTGGGTGAAAAAACAATTGGGCCCCCAATTGCACGTGGCTGCAGAAGTCCTCGACCGTTTCCTATGTGAATCTAATCGTTCTGAAGGCCAAGGCCACGTCTGGAGAGCTAGATGAAATAAATTAAAAAGACTCGCAGGACCCCTCCCTCCTGGCCTGGCCCGGCTGGGAGGAGACCCCTCCAAGGCGGGCCACCCCGCCCACAGCACGAAGGCTTTCCCATCACTCTCCGAGGCGGCTCCTCTGACAGGAACGTGAACTAGGGATCAGATGGTCTGGGAGGCTTCCTCCCGGTCCCCCAGGGCCAGCATCGTCCGGAGTGCGCTGCTGGCCTCCTCAGGCCATGCCACTGGCAGAGTAGGAGAATTGTGGGAGGTGGGGCCTCCGCTCGCTGTCATCGCCCTCCACGGCGTCGCCTTGGTCGGGGAAGGGGAGGGGGGGGACGTGATCGTGATCATCTGGTTAAACTATTTTTTTTTAATTTTTTTAAATTTCTTTATTTCTAGGAGACAGAGAGAGGGACAGCGTGAGCAGGGGAGGGTCAGAGAGAGGGGGAGTCACAGACTGAAACAGGCTCCAGGCTCTGAGCGGGCAGTCAGCACAGAGCCCGACGCGGGGCTAGAACCCACGAACCGCGAGATCATGACCTAAGCGAAAGTCGGACGCTTAACCGACTAAGCCACCCAGGCGCCCCTGGTTAAACTATTTTAACCATGACTTCCTGACTTTTGCCAGGAATTGATCATCAAATGTTTGGCGTCAGCCTGGGCTTTCCAATGGTACTGGGCACATCCTGATGGGTGACACCTCGACTCCCACTATCTATTCCACCACTATCACATCCTCCCACCATATTCATTTAATACATATTTATTAGGCACCTCCTCTGTGTTGGGAGTGTTCTAGGTTCCAGGAACCCAGCAAGGACCCAGACTACTATCAAGATCCCTATCTCATAGAGCTTACAGTCTAATGAGGGAGACACCATAATATCCAGGTAAACAAACCAGCTAACGAGCTGAGAACACAGAGATCATCACAAGGACAATGAAGAGAATGCAAGAGAGTGATGAGATAAGAAAGACCTGAGGCAGGGCGCCTGGGTGGCTTAGTCAGTTAAGCGTCCGACTTTCGCTTAGGTCATGATCTCGCGGTTCGTGGGTTTGAGCCCCACATCAGGCTCTGTGCTGACTGCCAGCTCAGAGCCTGGAGCCTGTTTCAGAGTCTGTGTCTCTCTCTCTCTCTGACCCTCCCCTGCTCACGCTGTCTCTCTTTCTCTCTCCTAGAAACAAATAAAAAATATTTTTAAAAATGTAAAAAAAGAAAGAAAGAAAGACCTGAGGAGCCTTAATAGATCAGGTGGCAAGAAAGGAGTCTCTAAGAAGGTCATATCTACACTGGGTCCTGAGAAAAAACAGCCAGTCCTGTGAGGATTTGAGGGGAAAAAAACTCCAAGCAGAAGAGCAGCAGGTGCAAAGGCCCTGAGGTACAAATGGGCTTAGAAAATTACAGAAAAAGAAAAGTACCTAAAGAGTGGCAATCCAGTGGGAGAGGGGAGGGAAGTAGAGCTCAGATTGTAAAGGTCTCAAAAGCTTGAATCCCGTGGGCCAGGATGTGAGAAACCATGTGATGTGGCTCAGGGCTGAGACCCACACCTCTATACCTGTGTGCCCTTAGCACATCCAGCTCCCTGAAACCACTGAGCACTCCCTCCAGAGTGCCCAGTTATCCCCCACAGTTGCCGCTTCAGCAGGCGCAGTGGTCCAACATGTGGACGTGGAATCATATTTCTGGGTTTCAACCCCTGCTCTGCTGCTCACTAGTTGAGTGACTTTGGGCAAATTATGGACCATAAGCTTCAGTTTTCTGGCCCGAAGAATGGGATGATAAAGTATGTATTCCAGAAGGTTATCACAAGGGTTAAATCATACAATGAGTGCCTCGTGCTCAGTACCAGCAGTGGCATGCTGAAAGCAAGCTCATAAAGCAGCTTTTATGTTGTGGTGGTTATTTTTATTAATCTTGGTAGGAAATCAGCCCTGAAGTATAAACACTGCCTGGTAGAAAGTGCTGGAATCTCTTGCATCAGCTATATTGGCTTCCGAGCTAACAGCAGCAGACTTAGTGAAAAGGATCAAAAAGGAAAAAAAAATGGTATACTCCAAAACATCTACTCTTCTCCAAATGGCATGATCGCTAATTTTTTTTCATGCAACCTACTGGAAAGTTCTAATCTTATTCATTTAAAACCCCAAGCTTGAGTTAGCGTATGTACCGAGACAACACCAGAAGCAGCAAGACCCAGTGATGGAGAATCTCTAAGTGAAAATGTAGGGCACCGCGACAAGAAACTCAACTCTTTGCCAAATGGAAAGAGATGAGCATTTAACCCGAGCAATGCCAAGGCCAGGATTTCTGTTCAGATTTCCTGAGAAAGAAAGGTTTTGTCAAAAACATTTTCTTTTCTTTGGTGCGCCGAGGATTCATTAAGACCCAAGCCCTGGCGCCATCTCCTGGCGGTCTCCAAAACTGAAAAACAGACGCTAACCGCAAGGGACCCCTGCCCTCCTCGACCGAAATGAAGATTAGGAGATAAACTGGTAATTTCATAGTGACTTTTGTGTGTTTCAACCTCCTGTTAAATATTTGAATTGAGATGAGCAGATGGTCAGCTACTTCCGGTCCCCACAAGGGACAGTCCCCGTTGGGCCACCACTTCCTTTGTTTCTATAAGAGCTTGTCAACCAACAAGGCACCCAGAGATCAGAGGCGGCATATTGACTGTCAGCGGACCACGCTTGGCCCGGCACCCAATGCACCCAATTTCCATTTGCCAATAATTCTACTCAGTGGATACTTTCTACAAAGAAATCAAGCTTGGAATCTGCCCTCAAGGAGCTGGGCTCCCAGCTTACTTCAGAATTGCAAATCGAAGTTTACCTCAGTACCCAGAATCTCCCGGTAAGCCTCAATTTGGGGTCTCGCTCTCCCTAGAAAAAGAACAGATGGCCGCCCTTGTTGTCATGGCCGCTTTCACTTCCTGAAGATTTGGTGAGGGCAGGTGGCTTCCTAGCCTGGGTGGCGTCAGCAGTTTCCACCTACGTCTAGTCGCATCTCCAATCCAGGTAAGCTGGTATCAGCAAACACAGCGTGAAATGGCCCGGAAAAATCGTTCTTCTAGGGTGCTGACTGAGGAGTGAACCAGTGTCCCAAAGAATTCTGATTCATTTCTCAGGGAAGTGGGAAGGGGGCGGCGGGGTAGAAAACCACAGCACAGTTTGGGAGGACAGAAAAGCTACTGGCTAGACCAGTCTAAATACACATTCTTTACTGAAGCATATGTATTTACTGATTTAAAATGCTTTGAGGGACACATGGGTGGCTCAGCTGGTTAAGCGACTGACTTCAACTCAGGTCATGATCTCATGGTTCATGAGTTCAAGCCCCGCATCAGGCTCATGAGCCTGGAGCCTACTTGGGATTCTGTGTGTGTGTGTCTCTCTCTCTGCAGCACCACTGCTTGTAATCTGTCTCAAAAATAAATAAATGTTTTAAAAAAAGTTTTAATAAAAAAATGCTTTGTGGGGCACCTGGGTGGCTCAGTTAGTTGAGCATCTGACTCATGATTTGGGCTCAGGTAACGATTTCACAGTCTGTGAGATCGAGCCCCACGATCTCTGTGGACTCTGTGCTGACAGGGCGGAGCCTCCTTGGGGAGAGGCCTCTCTCCCTCTCTTCCTCTCTCCCACTTGCACAGGTTCTCTCTCTCTCTCTCTCTCTCTCTCTCTCTCAAAATAAACATTTTAAAAAATAAAAATGTATTCGGGCGCCTGGGTGGCTCAGTTGGTTAAGCATCTGACCAGCTCAAGTCATGATCTCACAGTTCATGGGTTTAAGCCCCATGTTGGGCTCTGTGCTGACAGCTCAGAGCCTGGAGTCTGCTTCAGATTCTGTGTCTCCCCCTCTCTCTGCCCCTCCCCCATTCATACTCTGTCTCTCTCTCTCAAAAATAAATAATAAAAACATTTTTAAAAATAAAAATATAAGATGCTTTGACCCCTTCCCGTTTGTCAGATAATGTGATAAGCACTTCACCTATAGATCCTCACTTAATCTCAACAACACGTGCAATTGATACCATTTTTAATTTCCATTTAACAGAGAAGAAAACACACTTAGAGAGAGCTTAAATAACTTGCCCAAGATCTTAGAGCAAGTAAATGGTAGAGACAGGGTTCAAACCTGTCCTCTTAACCACTGTAGTGAAGTATCTTTCAGGGACCCAGGACTCGGGATTTTCTCAGGCACTAATGAAAACACTCCTTAGATTTTCAGGATGAATGAAATCGGATAGTTCCGCACAGATAACAAAGGTGCTCCTCAGAGCCCTCCACAGTGAGGGCATGTGTGGTGAGAAGAAGAGGTGTGTTAGCATCAGGCACCACCAAACCTCACTCCTTCTTGAATAGCACCCACCCCGTGTAAATGCTTTGCCTTAGTCTTCATGTGCCTGATGCAGTTACTGACCCATAGCCCTCATCCTCAGGCAGTTTTCAAAAGACTGACAGTAATTTTCTCGCAGCATCCATGCCTGACAATTGATTTCTCATGGTTATTTGCCAAAGCACAACTACAAATGCCATTAACTGGTAATAAAACTTGCCAGCCGTTTCTAAAACCCAGTGCTGGCAACTGCTCTGAGGTCCCTGGGGACCCTTGTTTTACCACATCTTGCTAAAGCAAATATTTTTTTGATGCTAAAACGCCAAAGGAGGAAATTTATCTTTTGCTCTTCCCAAAGTTTATAGAACTATGAGGGTCAGGAGTGAAGAGACAGTCTTAAAAATCATACAAAGAGGGGCACCTGGGTGGCTCAGTCAGTTAAGCATCTGACCTTGGCTCAGGTCATGATCTCATAGTTCATGGGTTCGAGCCCCGTGTCAGACTCTGTGCTGACAGCCAGCTCAGAGCCTGGAGTCTGTTTCAGATTCTGTGTCTCCCTCTCTCTCTGACCCCACCCCCTGGGCCCCCACTCACTCTCTCTCTCACTGTCTCCCTCTCAGAAATAAATTTTTGAAAAATAAAAATAAAAATCATAGAAAGCATTCAGGATTCCTGATTCTAAAAATCTACCCATTTGCCTCAATATATAAATGTCATACTTTTTCCAGATAACACTTCTTTAAAAAAAAAAAAAAAGTAAGAATTTAAAAAGCATTCATTAACCATCTTTTGGGTTCCTGACACACTGTGCATACAAGGAAAGGTGACTGTGCCTGCCTTCAAGGTGCTTATAATCTAGTTATGCAGACACGACCCACACATGAAGCAACTCTAGAATGAGACAAGCCAAGGCACAGTCACCTGTGAGATGGAGAGGTACAAAGTGGGGACTCTCCTGCTCAGAAACAGAAAT